GGTAGAATATTGCACACTTTTTTCGGGACACCCTGTATAGGGTATCCCATTTAAAAATCGAAAGTTGGAGTCGTTTTCGGTCAAACGCAACCCTCAAATTTCGTTTTTCTATCTTCAATAATAAAAAAGTTATGGGGGTTCAACTTCTAGAATCACCCATCATATACTAAGTGACATATAAATTCGAACACCCAGTTTAAATGGTTTTATTTTAATAAAAATTTGTATAAGTACTTAATGAAGCATAATAAGTAAATGATAAAAATTTCAAAATGATTGCACTGCTTTGAAGCCCTTTGACCTCTAATCATGTGTGGATGCACCCTGATGTGCTACGCATTCTCCAACGCGCCTAGGCATGCTTCTGATCAGGTCGTCAATGTCCTCCTGTGGTATCTCATTCCAGGCAACCACCAACTCCTCTCGAAGTGCTTCTAGAGTCTGATGAGGACGTTGCAAATTGAGCAATCTCCTACCCATCATATCCCACACGTGCTCAATTGGGGATAAGTCGGGAGATCTTGGTGGCCATGGTAACAATGTGACATCATTATGTTGAAAGAAGTCTACTGTGACTCTTGCAACATGTGGTCGGGCATTATCTTGTTGGAAAGTTGGATCTGCTAGGGTGTCAAAATAAGGTAAAAGATGGGGTTCTAGAACTTCGTGGATATAACGCTGCGCGTTCATGTTACCTCTGATGAAGATTAAAGGTGACCTGGAACCATAAGCTATAGCACCCCAAACCATAACTCCAAAACTGTGGATTCATCCTTTCACCACGTCGCCTTCTAACCCTGGCACGACCATCGTGCATGCCTAAACAAAATCGAGACTCGTCACTAAAGACAATACTGTTCCATTCCTGATCCCAGAGTGACCGTTGTCTGCACCACTCAAGGCGATTACGTCGGTGTTCTCGAGTTAAAGGGAGGACCCAGTGTGGCCGGTATGAAAACAAGCCAAAACTTCTCATTCGTCGGTAAACACTTCGCATGCCAATAGGTCTTCCGTGTTCTGCAAACCATTCATTTGCAATGGACCTGGTAGTGGAGAAACGGTCCCTTAAGGCCAATAGTCTTAGGCGGCGATCTTCACGTTCTGTTGTTCTACGGCGGCGTCCACTGCTCCTTGCTCTTTGTGTACGGCCTTCTCGAAGCCATGCCTGACAACACCTAACCACAGTGTCCACACTTCTTTGCACTCTAACTGCAATTGCCCGAAAAGAAAGTCCAGCTTCCCGAAGTCCCACTATACGGCCCCTATCAAACTCACTAAGTTGACGAAATCGTACAGGTCTCCGTACTCTAGGCATCGTAACCGATCGTAAAGGATGTCAAGAACCAAAATCCGCCAACGTTGATTCTTTACTGCGGCTGAAATATTCATTTTTAGAGCGTTAGTGAATTAAAAAAAAGCAGTATAAAAACCGGAATGTCCAACTGATAAGGCTGAAAAATTTTTCACTTGTTAGTTACAGTAAGATAAATACATTCACCAACTTTTATTAAAATAAAACCATTTACACTGGGAGTTCGGATTTATATGTCACTTAGTATAATAAGTAAAAAAATAGTTTGTAACTTTTAGAAAATCTTTAAAACGACTGCAATCCTATATTCCCGTGTTACTTGATCAAAAATGAAGCGATTTACAGAATCCATGGCATCCAACATCGAAAAATAAAAATTGAAATAAAATTGGAATTAGTCCAATATTGTCAAGTGATGCGTTGTTGAGTTCAGAATGCCATTCTCGATTGAAATACGTAAACATATATAGGGTATCCCATTTAAAAATCGAAAGATGGAGTCGTTTCCGGTCAAACGCAACTCTCAAATTACGTTTTTCTATCTTCAATAATAAAAAAGTTATGGGGGTTCACCTTGGAGAATCACCCGGTATATTTAAAACAGATAAATAGTTTTCATAGTTCCGCAATTAAAAAGTCAGCAGGCCCTGACGGCATACCTCCTGTATTTATAAAAAACTGTTCCGCTAGTTTATGTTTACCACTTCACCTCATTTTCAAACTATCGTTAACTCAAAGAGTCTTTCCAACGAGATGGAAAGAAGGTGAAATATTGCCTATTCATAAAGGAGGCGATAGACATCTTGTGGAAAATTATCGACCTATCACTAAACTTTGTATTTTCTAAAAAATTTTTGAAAAGTTGATTTATGATGCTATGATATTTGCAGGCACAGCCTACTTCTAAAAATTATCGAGATACTGACTTTTTAACGTTATTTTATCGTAAATAAGTAAAATGCATCGAATCTTAAAAATCGAAATATCTCAAAAACGGCTAACTATAAAGAAAACTCACAGGAGAGCTTTTTTATGTTGAAAAGTGCGAAGAATCAGCTTTTTTATTCAAAAAGCAAAAAATTGCACTAAGAAAAAATTTTCGGTCATTTTAATACACTACAGGTACACTAGAGAGCGCCCTCTAGCGGCCACAGTAAAACTATGCTCATGGTTCGTTTTGTCGTACCAAAAAAGACCCATATATACCAATTTTCACTGTTATACGTCAAATATTGTTCGAAATATTAAAAAAAACTATTTTAGAAAGTAAATATAAACACCCTGTATTTCGGAAGCCACCCATTTTTCGACCCATGTTTATATAGACTTTATGCATTAATTTTAATAGTTCTATCGAATCTTAAAGTTATGCAACAATAAACTGAAACACCCTGCATACACAACAAATTGATGTTTGCATCAGTAATATGGAATCCGTCTTACAATGTACATGTAGCCAGGATAGAAAGAATTCAACACACATTTTTGAAGATGTTAGCACATAAAACTGACCAACCTGTTACACATCATCATTATACGCAAATTATGAAACAGTTCAATATGATTTCCTTAAAAGATAGAAGAACGATTTCTGACATTTGCTGTGTTCATAAGTTGTTGAATGGCCTCACTGACTGTCCGGATCTTTTGGCAAACTTGAACTTTCACACTCCTGATAGAACGTTTAGAACCTATCATCTGTTTAGAATGCCGTTTCGTAGAACTAATCTTGGGTTAATTCCCCTTTAGTCAGCGCTCAAAAAAATCATAATAATTTCTGTAATATAAATTTATTTAACATTAGCTTGACCTTCCTGAAAAAGGGTTTAAAGTATGAGTATTACAGCTCTATGGCAGACTAATATAGGAATGTTTTATTTTTTACATAACTCAAGTTGTCACCTCCAATATCATTTCTGGTATAATTTCAATTTAATTTTGATTTCAGTTTTAATTAAACGTAAGTAAATGTTAAATTATGTATACTCCTTTTATTAAAAAAGTTAAATCAATAGTTTATTGCTTATAATTAGAACTACTCGCTCAGTTTATGTTGTTACAAAGATAAAACAAAATATTAATATTAAAGTATTCAATAATGTAATATATGTATATAATAATAATAATAATAAATGTCTTTATTAATCAGCATACATCAGTGAGGCGAAGTTTAGCCAAATGGCTACTCTTACACTTAACCTCACTGTGTACGAAAGAGTAACACAGTTAAACTCGATACACAAACAAACAATAGTATTAATAAGAAAAAGAAACAAATGCACACTTGAACTATTAATATAATAATAATAATAATAATAAAGTGTCATAAAGATAAAACAAACCAACAGCTCAAGCACTAGAGAGACGATTGCATCTCCAATAGCTGTTTTCCAACTGATTTCTTAAAAGAGAGTAAACTTTCTTGTTTGTTAGCCGCACTGACTGAATTGTAAAGCTCAACAGCATTATACGTGAAAGATCTCTGATATAATGAGGTGTAGTGAAGAGGAATATTGAACTGTTCATCATGACGTAACCTTCTTGAAATTAAATTCCTACGCGGAACTAACTTATTTGCAAGGTAAATAGGTCTCTTGGTAACGACTATTTTATGTACAAAAACCAACATATGAAACTTGAAAAGATTATTGAGCTTCAGCCACCCCAGCTCACAGATCTTGGATGTAACATGGCTATACCTACGAAGGCCGAAAACAAAACGACAACAACAATTTTGAATTTTCTGCAATCTGGTTTTTGTTATGGAGTCAAGACAAGGATAAAACAGTATAAAACAGTAAAGCAGCTTAGACATAACTAAACTTTCCACCAATTTCTTTCTAGTCTTGAAATTGAGAATAGAACGATTGGAGTATAGGAGTCTTAGGCTTGCATATGTAGCTTTAGATATATTACCGACGTGGTGATGAAATCTAAGATTTACGTCTAGAGTAACACCTAGACTTTTTGCATACGTGACGAGTGGAATATGGTCATTATTTACCCTCAAATCAATCATCCTTTCAAAATGCTCATAGCTGGTTTTGGGACAGAACAACACCGCAAAACTCTTGGTAGGATTGAGCTTCAAACAGTTAGCCTTGCAATAGTCAGTTATATTTACCAGATCTAAATTTATTTTATACGAAGCTTGATCCACATTAGTAGAGTCAAAAGCAGTGGCGGCTCGTGAGGTAGTGCCACGGTGCCATGGCACTACCTTGTCTTCTTCAAAAAGAATATTTTTTTCAATCTTCAATGTTTTACTTTATTTTCTGCTTTTTCATTTTTTTTTGGTATAAATTATATGAAGTGACAACACTGACAACGTGACAACACCGCAAGCACCCGACCGACGCGACGAGACGAGCATGCCTTGACCTTGACGTCATCAACTTGTGCCAATTTAGGGCCGGTCCAAATAAAAAGAGAGAAATTTTACCAGCATCGCATACGAGCGACAGAGATAACGCTACGCATGACATGTTTATATGAGGTGAATAGCGAAAGACAAGTATAATTTGTGCCAGGCACATCATCAGTCGTAATTCGTTATCAAATGATATCGGCGGTGTTTTTGTTCGGTCGGTCGTTTGGTTATGATTACGTCTAGTGCTGATTTCGGTCTTTTTTTACCTGAAAAGTGAGAAATAACGTTTTTGTTTTTGTACGTCTAGTGTTAATGAACTGCTCTGTTTTGTGATCATATTTTTTACTGTTTTATTAAAACTAGTGAAAATGGATAAAATCGGGATATTAAAAAACTCACTTAGTGGTTTTTCGCTGGATCAAAAACTGCAAATTAAAGAATTAGGACGGCCAATACCCGATTTAAAAATTGAGAAACAAAGTGGTAGCGGACAAAAATCGCGCTGTCGCAAATTTAATAAAAATGTGTACGATAAAAACAGCTGTATATGTGGTTGTGAAGAAACGAATAAACTATTTTGTTTTGTATGTGTTCTATTTGGAGGTGACGAGACTTGGTCAAAAAAAGGTACAGACGATCTTATACATATATGGGATAAAATGAAGACCCATGAAAAATCTAAAGTCCATATGAATAATGTTTTTAGCTTTTCTATTCTTGGTAAATTAAATATAAGGACTCAACTCAATTCAGCTTATCGCAATGATCTAATTAAACATAATAATCAAGTGGATAAGAATCGATATGTATTGAATAAAATTATTAATTGTATAAGGTTTTGTGGAGCATTTGAGTTAGCCTTAAGGGGTCATGATGAAAAGGAAAATTCGGAAAACAGAGGCATATTTAAGGAACTGGTGAATTTTAGCGCCGAATTAGACAACGAATTGAAAGTCCATATTCAAAGTGCCAAACTTTTTGAGGGTACCTCAAAAACAACTCAAAACGAGCTTCTTGAGTGCATGCTAGATGTTTATCATGAAGAAGTTAAGAAGGAGATTGCAAATTCTCCTTTTGTTGCAGTAATTGCCGATGAAACGACGGACGTAGCCTGTGAATTTCAGTTAGTTATTATTTTCAGATATTTGTGTAAAGGACAACCAGTTGAGAGATTTTGGAGATTTTACGTCCCCGACGGACACGATGCCAAATCAATCGCTGCATGCGTTTTAAATGTTGTAAATCCATTACTAGATCAAAATCCAAACAAATTAATAGCTCAAAGCCATGATGGTGCGTCTGTTATGAGTGGTGAATTGAATGGCGTTCAAAAAATTATTAAGGAAACTTATCCACTTGCAAATTATGTTCATTGCTATGCACACCAGTTAAATCTAATTATGACAAGCGCATGCTCTGTCAATAAGCAGGCTAGAATATTTTTCCATAATTTATCTGGATTGTGCTCTTTTTTTTCGACGTCTCCTCAAAGAACAAAAATTTTGGATGAAATAGTTAATCGCAGATTGCCAAGATCTTCCCAAACACGTTGGAATTTTCAGTCACGAGGTGTTCATACAGTTTATGAAAATAGGAAAGACCTGATTGAAGTTATGGACAATATAGAAAGTACTTCACGCGATTCTTCGTCGATTAATCAAGCCAGTGGGTACAAATTAAAGCTGCAAGATACAAATTTTGTATTTTGGCTAAGTATTTTCCATAAAATAATGCCACATGTTGAAATTGTCTTTAACCAATTACAAAAAGTATGCACCGATTCTGTTAAGGTCAAAAATGATTTAGAGAATTGTGAAGCAGCAATTCAAACTATACGAGAACAAATGGATAGCATTATTGACGATATTGAACGAGTGTAGAGAGAAACTGATGAACCGGCAAGAAAAAAAAGGCAAGTTGAAGAAGGCAGCAAAAAACGGGAAGCGTTAGAAATATGCGATGCAGTATTATCGCAAATAAGAACAAGATTTAACTTTTCTGGGCATTTAGTTGCTTCTAATTTATTTGTGTCTGAAAAGTTTTCTGTTTATAAACATCAGTTTCCCGAAGCACATTTAAATGACACATGCACACAATTTTCATTTTTAGACAAAAACAGGCTTAAAACTGAGTTACAAGTATTATATCAGAGAGAAGAATTGAGTACTACTTCTGGAGCTGTTCCACTATCCATTTTATTGAACGAGGAAGGATTAAATTGTACGTTTCAAGAAACTCTTAAGCTCTTAAGTATTTTAATCACTATACCGATGTCAACATCTGAAGCAGAACGCTCTTTTTCAATGCTGAAACGGATTAAAACTTTCCTCAGAAACACAATGAAGGAAGAAAGGCTTAGTGCTTTAGGAATGCTGTCTGCAGAAAAACATTTTGTTAGTGGCATTGAATATTTTAATAATAAGGTAATCGAAAACTTTGCTACCAAAAAAGAAAGAAGAATGGACCTCATATATAGAAAACTATAGTTATAGGTACTTCTCCACACTTGTTTTATAATTTGGTGAGCGTGTGTAAATAGTTTTATTTTTGTTTTTTTTTTGGACATATAGATTTATTGAACCTCAAGAACTTTGACCACTAACTATCAGGGGTAAGTTATAAGTTATTCTTTACAATTTTGAATCGATTCAAAATTATGGCTTCCATTCTGGCACTACCTCACGGAATTGGCACGAGCCGCCACTGGTCAAAAGTGAAGGTCAATTGTGTATCGTCTGCGTAAGTATGAATACTACAAAACTGTAATACAGTATGCAAGTCAAAAGTATAAACTAAATATAGTAAAGGACCAAGCACGGAACCCTGAGGAACACCAGAAGCAACATCGGCACTAAGAGAAACTCCTTGGCTTGTTCTTATTCGTTGCTTGCGATTATTTAAGTATGATTTAAAAAAGCAAAGAGGAACATCAGATAGTCCGTAGTATTTTAATTTGGATAGAAGCATTTCGTGGTTAACCGTATCAAATGCCTTTGAGAATATGTATACGATATTTTATGTAAGTTTAGTTTTAGTTCACTGAGGGTGTGTGTTGGGTTTACCTGTTAACACCCCAAACTGTATATAAATAAATTGCTACATGGCATTGTTCTTGTCGAGACATATCAGTAAAACTTTCGTGCCTTATTATTCCGGAAGAAAAAATAACCGTACCCGTAGATCTCCGTCAATGCAGAAAAAACACGAAAGTCTTTGCATCAGGTATATGATAACAAAAGGTAGTAGGATCCTCCTTCAGATGGCATAATGACCGGCTGACTTTAAGGTGATCATTAGTGGCATTCAAGAATCGGGACGCGACCCCTCTTTAACCAGTTCGGTCCTGCCCCCCGAAAACACTTCAATAGGATTTTTTCCAATAACACTCGTGTGTGTGTGTGTGCTGAATACCGAAATAAAAAAAAACGCTTCTGCCTATTGTACCGGCCGCTTCTCGTCAAATTGCCGTGTATTATTGTTACTCCGTGTATTATTAATATCGGTGTATCTTTATGTTGTACGTTTTTGCGGTGTGGATAAAAGAAAACACTATTGTTGCCTGTCGGAAATGTCCGGGTTGGAAAAAATCGAGTCAAGTAGATTGACTTGTTTTTTTGTAATACACATTGTTGTACAGGGCGGTCAACTAAGAATGCGAGGTACTGTGTCTATCCGTAGCAGAGGCTGGCGGCAACAAAAGTTTTTACTAAAACAGCCAAGCAGTGGCGCTCCCACGATTTCAGTCTGGGAGGAGTTAAATGGAAAGTAAATTCTCAGTGCAACGTATACTTTATCTGAAGTCACTTGAACCACTGTGAAATACCGGGTGCGTTTTATATATCTATATTTAACACGCTCTGTTGCTGCAAAAGTCGCCAAATTTCGCAGCAAATATCCCCCGTATAAGATCAAAGGCAGTTTCGCCGGTCCACGTGGAGTAAAGCACGCCTATGCGTGGACATAGCCAATGAGAAAGCGTGTATTTCAGAGCTCCGAACAAGTGCAGGTGGCTACTGAAAATTGAAACAGTTTAGCCAGTGCCGTGTAGCGGTGAATAAACGTGTTTTCTTTAGTCTGTCCGTGTTTTTTCATAGATTTTATTAGTTTGTGTGTTTTTGACTTTTGAATACTCAGTTTACTTGTTGATTTAATTGTTGTGTTGATTGTTCTTGTGTGTCCTAAATATGGCTCTTTGGAGACCTTGGGAGAATGCTCCAAGCGACGAGGAGATGGTTGATGAACCTGTGCAGGCAGAATTCTTTCATAAAGATTTAGAGGAACAGACCCAAAGAGTAATCCTAAATATGTATGATTGTCTGAAAAACGAAAATCCAGATTCCTCGCAAAATCAAATTTTAAACAGAATCTGTATCCTGACAAAAATCAGTCGGTCTACCATTTATCGGGTTGTAAAAAGGGGAGATGTAGTCAACCATTCCTTCCACAGAAAGCGCATAGGGCAAAAATTAAAAAGAATAGACGTGGGTTTTCAGGAAGATATTCGTCGTATAATATACGGATTTTATAAAGAAAATTTGGTGCCCACGTTGGAAATGATACGGGATAAATTAAAAGATTATCCTGAAGATTTTTATAATTACAAATGCTTAGACTCACTGCACTGTATTGTAAAACTGTGTGGTTTTCAACACAAAAAATTAGATAAAAGAATGGTGATTATGGAGTCGTTTCGAATCGTTGAATTGCGCCAAGAACTTTTGCACAATGTTAAAATCTATAGAGAGCAGAAAAGAAATCTGATTTACCTGGATGAAACGTGGTATGATACCCATGATGTTGTGCAGTACGGCTGGGTTGACGACAGCAACAAGTGCATTTTAAATGCACCATGCAACCGTGGAAAACGAATCATTATTCTCCATGCTGGCAGTGAAAATGGATTTATAGGTACCTAATGCCTTGCTGTTATCTGCCAAAAATATCAAAGAATCATGTGCCGACTATCATGAGGACATGACCTCCGACTTATTTGAAAAGTGGATAGAGCAGCAGTTAATACCAAACATTTCCCCAAATTCAGTGATTATTATGGACAATGCGCCATACCATTCCCGACAGAAAAACAAAATTCCGAATACAGGCACAAAAAAACAAGACATTATTGATTTTATGAAGGATAAGGGAATGGAAATACCACAAAAATCGACCAAAGCCATATTATTGGATCTTATTAAAAGACAAAAATTTGAAAAAGAGTATGTTGTTGACAATCTGCTTCAGCAAAATGGCCATGAAGTATTACGTCTACCTCCCTATTACTGCATTTTTAACCCGATTGAGTTGGTCTGGGCTGCTTTAAAAAAAAAAAGTAAGAAAACATAATCAGACCCCTCAATTAAGTGAATCGCTATTGGCCACAATAAGAGATGCAGTATCTCATATTGCTGCCACAGACCTATGGAAGCAGTGTTCTAGGCATATTATTGAAAAAGAAAATGAATATTGTGTTTTGCCTCCTGTAAATCCCGTTGTAATTCCTCTACAAGATGACTCTAGCGACAGCTCCGAAGGCGAGGATGATATATAAATACCTATAATGTAAGTCTTTATATACCTACCTGCTATGTAAATATTTGCCTATGTCAAACGTTGGAATTCTGTAATTTTTCCATTTCTTAACTTTCAGTCAACATAAATCCCAATATAAGTACTTTTTATCCCAAATCAAAAAAATAAGAAGATAGTAAAATCCATTTATTGTGATATAAAAACATTATTATTATCGTTCTAAATAAATAACCGCACGCCTATGATACGTCATGAAATTACAAAGGACGCGCCGACTAAAGGTTTTTATGCTATTTCAAGTGACTTCAGATAAACCATACTGATGTGTTATAATGATTTAACATTAAAAGCATGCACATATGCAGACATATGAATTTGTTACAGTAATGTCTGTAGAGAATACATATGTACATTTTTTTAAAATTTTGGATCATACGAAGTCAAAGTGCAAATAAAGCAAACCAAGCTCGAACAATCTTCATATATCAAAACAAAAATGCAAAATAATATAATAATAATAATAATAGACGTCTTTATTTATCCACAATTACATTGTAGTATAGCCAAATGTCAGACTTACACGGCGAAGTTTAGCATGCTTAACTTAACCATATAGTCTCTAGCAGATGTTCAAAAGAATACGCTGCCCACAAACAGATTTGGTTCATTACATCGAAAGTAAAATTTAAAAAAAAGAGAAAAATGCATACTTTCCAAACCCAAATGCGCCAAAAAATTATTAATCTGAATTAAAGATGGAATAAAAAAGAAATGAATGATTACGTAAATTATATGTTTGGAGGGTTGAGTAATAATGTTTTAACTTTTTGTCGAAAGACAGGTAATGAAAATTCTTTATATACTTTAGGAAGGTCATTATAAATAATAGCAGTATTGTAAGAAAAACTGCGTTTAAAAAGTGTAGACGTATGCAGAGGTATTCTAATATTATTTTCTCTGAGAGTGCTACAGTGAACATCATTATTAAATGAAATTTTTAAGGTTTAGACCTGAGCAGCAATTTGTGGACAAAAACTGAATAGTGATACTTGACCATGTCATTAATTTTTAACCAATTTAGAACGGGATATTTCGCCGATACATGATCAAATTTACGTAAGCCAAAAATGAATCGTATACAACTGTTTTGAATAACTTGAATAACGTTTTTAGTGAAATTGTCTAAACAAGTATAGTATACGATATTACAATAATTTAGTATAGATATGACCAATGCTTCAGATAGTTTTTTACGCATCTTAAAATTTAGTAAATACCTGTTTGCTATAAGAGTGCGCAGCCGTAGGTAGGTTTTCTGAGATGGACTTTTAACATGTTCAATAAGCCTTAATTTTGTATAAAAAACAACACTAAGAATTTTTGCAGAATCAGAAAATTGCAAGATTTGGTTATTTATCTGAATGTTCAAGAGCTGTGTTACATTGTATGTTTTTCTTTGTGCGCAAAATAATAACATTTTAGATTTTTGTGGATTAATAAGTAGATTGTGATCTAAAGAGTATTTAATTAATTTAACATCGTTTTGTAAAATTTGTGTAGTGTTATTGACATTATCTGGGTTAAAATAATGGAGCAATTGCGTATCGTCTGCAAATGACTGGACATGAGGATTGTCAATACTTTTGCTTAAGTCGAACGTATACATGAGGAACAGAAGCGGTCCCAATACAGAGCCCTGAGGTACGCCTGAGGGAATTATTGTCACTTGAGACATTTCTTGATTGAGAAAAACACACCGAGTTCTTTGATGAAGGTAACTGTCGAAAAATGAAAGGGATACACTGTCAAGACCTACGTAATTTAATTTCGCAAGTAATAATTCATGATTGATGCTGTCAAACGCTTTCGAATAGTCTATAGAGATTAAGGCTAGTGCCATTTTCTTATCACAGACTTTTCTACATAACAATATCAGACAAAACAACAAAAAATACAT